TCTCTCTCTCTCTCTCTCTCTCTCTCTCTCTCTCTCTCTCTCTCTCTTTCTCTCTCTCTCTCACATCTTCCTGATCTTCCTGACTCTAGACCCTGAACTCTCTCCACTGCATCACCTAGATGCCTCTATCTGGACCACTTCTCTGTCTCAAAACATCCTGAGACCTCTTCCTGCTCCACATGTAATTGCTGAATTCTCTAATTTGTGAAAGAAACTCCAGCACCACTGTTTACCTTGACCTGCTTCCACCACATTAGCAGTCCACCTTCCCAGAAAGAATCTCAGCAAAGAACTGTGTGTTGTTAATCAATACCTCTAATCAGTCATCAAGAATTGACAGGCACTGTAACAAAGGAGAAAGCTACTAGGCAAGTATTGATCTAGACAGTACCTACTCACTGGAAAGACTGTTCTCCTTTTTAATGGAAAGGCTAGATAATTGGTAACTGGTGGATAATGGTAGCATTCAGGAAGGTCAAAGGAAGAATGATCTGACCTCATCATTTTAGAATTAGTTCTGATCTCACCAAAGACAACATGTAAATACATTTATTCTTCCTCTTTCCCTTCTCCTTCCCACATCCACATGCATTCTCATCCTTTTCTTTTTCTCCACACCTCTAGCCCTTTGTTGCATTGGCGCAACCCAGAAAAGAAGGTTTGGCTAATCTATAATAGCCTGAGAGAAATTAGTCAGTTATTGCTAACATATATGCATAATAAAAGCAGGAATGCAAAACAGAAGGCTGATTCTTTTTTTTTTTATCCTTTTGTTCCTGTCACTAATTTCATGTACTTGCTAATTAGTCACATGAGAGAGTAGGGGTATCATAGACCTAGCTCCTCTAGAACTTGTTTTTGCTGGGAGAGTCCCCAAAATGGGTTTTAGGGATACATTGACAATCAAGGATTCAATGAGGTGTAAGAGAATTTTCCAACCCCAAGTTAAATAGTTGTCTGGAGCCAGAGACTATAAATCTATGCTAGAAAAAAAATGGTCAGTCTCTGATTCTTATAATCTACCACTGCTCAGATTTTCACAATCTAGCCAATAGCTCACAGATTCTCAGATTCCTTAAGAATCTAGCTAATATGGCCAATCTTCAATAAACCTTGTTTTTGGTTGAAAAAAGGCTTGGGTCGAATTCTTTCGGGCTCACCCGCATGTCATGATTTTGGGATTCCAGGACCCCTAACCTCTAGACCTCATCATATGGTTCCCTGCACCAGGAAAAACTGCCTATACCAACCTCTTCACCAGTCGGGACTGGAAGATTTGTGTCTTCCAGACTACAGGCCATTCACCTACAGCTGGTAGCAAACAGCGAGTACCAGCCAACGTCCCCCACATCGTTCCCTGGATGCAGCCTGTGCTGGGTTCCAGTCAACCTCCTCTTTAAGACCTCCTCGAGGCAGGGACAGCTCTACATTCCTTGCCAACAGGCCCCTTTACCCCAAAGTAATTTGGGTCCCATTTGTTTGAGGTGGGAATGATGAGGATGGGAGCTAGACCCCAAAAAGGAAAAACCCTGGACTTTCCCACATGGCCTAATCTCTGGAGTTCCCCTGAGGCTATAATCCCATCAACTGGCCTTTCTTTGTGGCTACATCCAATCTCCCAATTCTCTGTACCCTTAACCTAGCCTAGAAGTCCTTATGTCCCGTCCCCCCCCCCCACTTCCCAACTTTAATCCTACCTAGGCTCCATTGTCCCTTGGCCACCCCTATAGTTCTATTATTTCATAGACTACTTGGCCACTCCTAGATCCCTCCCATAGTCTTTCTGTATATAAGGTCCATCTTGTCTGCATTAAGATGCTCTGATTCTTATAATCTAGGCACTGCTCAGATTTTCACAATCTAGCCAATAGCCCACAGACACTCAGATTCCTTAAGAGTCTAGTTAATATGGCCAATCTTCAATAAACCTTATCTTTGGCTGAAAAAAATGGTCAAAAAATTCTAAAGTATCAGCTCAATCTTACCCTGGGATCTTCAACTATACCACATGTTTAAGATCATCTATTGGGGTGCAATGCTAGGAAGTTTCCTCCTGACAAGTACAGACCAAGAACTTTAAAGCTCTTTTATCTTAGTAGCATCATGAAGTATAACAGTATTGGAATCCCTAGTTCACAGATAGGAAAACTGAAGTATGGAGTCATAAAAATAATAACATATTTAATAATATTTATGTTTAGATTACTAAATATGCACATATAAATTTCTATATCTACAGATAAATAAATTTTGTTTGATCCACTCAGCACTGTGAGGCTATAATTCTGACTATAATTCTCATTCTAAGTCAAGCATCCTTTCTACTATTCCATGATTGCTTTTCTACAGATTAGAAATACTTTAAGAAAAGGAATTCTATCTTATTCCTCTGTGTATGTCTTTTCTTTCCCTCCAGCCACCAGATCCTACCCCCCACCTCAACGACAAACACAGTGCCTTATGGGAGCAAGGCACTGAATATGTATTTATGAGCTTAATCATTTAATTATGAGTGAGAGTCTGATGATAACACAATTTTCAAAGGGGTAGGTAGTGGAAAAAGGAGTGGATTGGAAGTCAAAAAACCTGGATTTGAATTCTGCCTGTTTCTTATTACCGCTGTAACTGTGGACAAATCACTTCACCTGTCTAGGTTTCAAATTTCTTCTCTGGAAAAAGAAGCCATTGACCCAGATCAGTAGTTCTCAGTCTTCTTGGTCTTAGAACTTATTCACACTCTTCAAAATTAGAGAACCACCTCTGCATCCCACCAAGAATCTTTTGTTTAAGTGGGCTGTATCTCTCAGTATTTACCATATTAGAAATTAAAATATCTTCATATTACTATGAAAATAGTTTTGACCTTGCAGACCCCCTGAAAGGGTGTCAAGGATGCCACACTTTGAGAACTACTAAAGTATAGTTATCTCTTCCACATCACAGGGTTAGGGGGCACCCCTAAGATCTGGAAAATCCCTATAAAATCCTACAATCTGGAAAATCCCCGAAGGCCCTCCCTTCATACCAGAGAAGAAGTCTGAATTTTTTTTTTCTTTTTCTTTTATGGAGTGCTTACAGTATCTTATTACAAAACTTTGGTATTTTGTCATAGTGTCATCTGCTGGCCTTTGTATGTCATCTGTGGCTTCTGCAAAATTCCCCCAAAATTCTCATTTAATTTCTTATGCCAACCATCAATGTTTTGAAACCTCGATAGGTAAAGTTGTAATGTGGAAGGGATAACCATGGATGGTCTCTAAGGTCCTTTACATCTCTAAATTCTATAGGCCCATGCACTATACTTTATAGGTGAATGAACTTAAAAGGGTTAAGGGATTAGCCTCAGATCACTCAGCTAATAAGTAATCTAACCAGAATTGAAATCCAGTTCTTGTGAATCCAAGTGCATGTCCTTTTCACCAAACTGATGCATATGCAGATAGTACATAAAACAAGTGACGGGAACAATCTGGTATTTTAATCTGTATTTTATTTAACAGTCATTCATTCACTGTGAACAAACATGTAATGAGTGCCTGCTACATGCAAAGATTTACACTAAGTGTTGTATAGAAGACAGAAATGAAACTAGGATCTGAGGCTTAGCGCAGCCAGCCACCACCAAAACAAACAGGGAGAACAACATCTAGGTTTTTTCTTCGCCCATAATTTCTCAGGGGGGTGGGGAGGGGTGGCATAGGTCATCCCAGCATTCAGCGGCACTCACAGGTAAACCTCCAAAAAGATCTCACTTGTGATTCTCTCCTTGTTGACGCAATAAAAAACTGTACATTTCTGACAGATACAGGCCCCTGCTCCCCCACCAAGCCAGAGACACGGCAAGTAAAAAATTAATGAGCTTCCAAATCAACTTCCCTCACGCTGATCGTCTGTGTTGAAGTAAGGTCAGGGGCAGACAAGCTTAGGAGGAGGCAAAGCGGCGGATGAGACTGATAAAGCCACCACCACCAACTGATAGATAAACCTTCTGTGAGTTGTTCAAACTTGTCAGTGCCTGCAGCAGGCTTTCTGGAGCCGACTGGAGAGATGAAATTAATTTTTAATACCCATGGCTCCCCCGGTCCTGGTCCCAAAACAAAGAGACACACTGTGTTTTATTTAGCTTAGAATGCCTCTCATTAACTGCATCCCCTGGTGATTTTTCATCAACTTGCTAAGCTAGTTGAACCACTGCAAGACTTGTTTACTTTAATGTGCAGTTTTAGGAGGTTTGGGCTCGCTGTCTCCTATTCAATCATTGTATAAGCTGGTAAGAGCCTGACTGGAGGAATCCAGGAGGATTCCTGGAGGAATCCAAAGATAAAGCTATTTAAGCCAAGGACCATCTTCTGGCATCTCCAGAACTGCATGTCCGATAGACAAGAAAATAGTGATAGCGTGCCCATAAAGTGTGGCCGTGACAAGCATTGTCATCCTTCTACTGTGTATAGGTTGGGGCAAGAATGGAGAGAAAGAAGCCAGAAAGGCAAAGCTGTCAGGCCAAAGAATTGGCTAGGCCCCAACAAACCATATATATATATACACACATACATACATATACACACATATATGTATGTATGTGTATGTGTATATGTGTGTATGTATGTGTATGTATATGTATATATATGGTTTGTTATGGTTTCTGATATGTATATATCTATAGATCTATAGATATATACATATCAGAAGAAAAAAAATCAGGAAGAAGTGAAGACTGCCAACAACTTTGAAAAAGTATGGTAGGGATGAAGTTATAGAGCTGAAGCCTTTATTAAGGCAGATAGATGATCTAGTAGAGTGCTAGACTAGAAGTCAATAAGATCTGAGTTCAAATTCAACTTCATACACTTACTAACTGTGAGACCCTGGGAAGGTCACTAAAATTCTCAGTTCTCCATTTCAATGGGGCAGTTGGTTTCAAGTCACTTAACCCTGTTTGCTTCAGTTTACTCATTTGTAAAATGAGCTGGAGAAGAAAATGGCAAACCACTCCAGTATCTTTGCCAAGAAAACCCCAAAAGGGTCACAAAGAGTTGGATGCTACTGAAATGAGTGAACAGCAGCAAAGGTCCCTAGCAATCATCCTGTGAACCACAAATTGTCAGTGCTTTGTATACAGCATATACCTAATGAATGCTTATTGACTGATATTGTCAATTCTATCTCCGCAACATCTCTCATATCAGTTCCCTTCTCTCCACTTATATAGGGTGGTGACTACCACCTTAGTTCAGGACCTCATCTCTTGAACCATTGCAAGATACTCTAGATATTCTCTTTTCCAATCCATTCTCCATACAGCTGCCCAATTAGTTTTCCTAAAGCATCTTGTCACTCCTCTGCTCAAGACCCTTCAGCAGTTCTCCATCGCCTCTAGGATAAAACATAAACCCTTTTGTTTGGTATTCAGAGCGTTTCAGTTTATGACTGTAGTTTATTTTTCCAAATTTATTTCACACCACACACACACACACACACACACACATTTTCTCTACATTTCAGTTAAATTGGTCTACTTGTTATCACACACTAAAACATCTCCTGTCTCTGCACTTTGCATAGGCTATCCCCTATGTTTGCAGTGATTGCTCTCCTCATTTCCAAATCTTGGATTGTGTAACTTCTTTCAAGGTTTACTTCAAGTGCTCTCTCTTACATGTCTTCCTTGAGCCTTCCAGTTATTATTGCTTCCTCTTATCCATCACTGAAATTACTTTATACTCATATACTTGACACATATATAATGCATATATAATGTATATAATATAAATGTATATAAGCTTTATATAATATAAATTTATATAATATACTTTATATAATATAAATTTATATAATATACTTATATATAACATATATGTATGTGTGCTTTTTATTCAGAGAGAGATGGAGGGGGAGGGAGAGGGAGAGAGAGACAGAGAAGATGGAGACAGAGACAAAGACAAAGAGAGAGAAAGAAGAGAGAGATGGAGGCAGGGAGAGAGGCAGAAAGATGGAGCTGGAGGAAACAGAGAGTTGGTGGGAGAAAGAGATAGAGGAGACAGAGAGAGGAGAGAGACAGAAAGAAAAAGAGAGAAAGAGGATAGAGAGGGACAGATACAGAAAATGATGGAGAGAAGGAAGAGAGAGATAAAGGGAGAGAGGGAGAAGAGAAACAGAGAGGAGATAGAGACAGAAAGAAAAGAAAGAGATGGAGGGAAATAGAAGAGAAGAGAAATGATAGAGAGAGGGAAAGCCATGGGCATATAATATGTAATACCACTGCAGCATCATTTAAGCTATTTGATTCTGGAAACTCATTTTTGTCACTGTGATATTGCCCCCACCCTATCTTTGGAGAGCTGCCCAGAACAGCTAGAGACTAAGTAATTTGCCCAGGATCACACAGCTAGGATGTGTCAGACATAGGATTTGAAATCAGATTCTCACCCTGGTGCATGCCCTCTATGCACTATACCATGCCGTTTCATGTGTAAGGCTATATAAAATAAGTACAAGGTAATTGGATGGGGAGAATGGAAGGCAGTGGCATCTAGGTGGAGTCAAGAAAAGCCTATTGTAAAAGGTAGCACTGGCACCATAGCTTTTGTAGGAAATGAGATTCTAAGAGGGAAAGGTGAGGAAGGAATAGATTTTCAAACACTGAACAAAGGCACTGGCCACGTTTGGTCTGAGGGACCTGACTTTCTGACAACCCCTTTATTTACAAAATGTTAGAGTGAATCAGGAAATCAAGGAGAGAGCCTTGTTGTTGACAAGATAACTACAAAAAAAAATTTATATAACAAGAACAGCATCACAGAGACAAATAACTTGGAAAAACTTAAGACTAAGGATGAAGCATACTACCCACCTCCTGACAGAGAACTGATGGTCTCAAGATAGAGAACGAAACATTTTTATGGTCAATGATGGAATTTGTTTTGCTTGGCTATGGATATTTGTTATATGAGTTTTGCTTTTTTTTCTTTTTTTTTTTTGTTCTCTAATAGGCAGGGGAAAGGTGGAGAGATGATAGACTTTTGTCAATTGAAAAAAAATTAAATTAATTTAAAATAATGAAAAAATATTATATTCTCTTGACAATAACGTGAGGCCTGGGCCTCTCCTAAAGCAGATGTTGTTTACCCTATCCTGTGGTATAAGGTACTATGGACAGCACCCATGAACCAATCCTTCCATCCAAGAATTTACCTTGAAAGTACAGTTATCCCAGGAACCTTCGCTCAGACTGTTCAACACCTGCCCACCAGAACGAACTTCCAGACAGTACAGGCCTTCCTGTGTCTCCCCCTGCAGAGACCTGAAGGTATAAAGACAGCAATGGCTTGCAAGTGAGTTACAAGGCAGGATCTTCTCCAACTCCACTTTAAATGCCCTCATCCATTCATAAATCTGTATTTTATCTTTTATTTTTCAACTCATCTAATTATTTTAGTGATTTTAATTAATGGAATTTTAAAAGGTTGTTTTGAATTTTGTTTATTTTTGCCAGCAAGAAGATGATTAGAAATGAAAATAGGTGGCTATAAAACAAAATCACCTTAAAAATCAAATAAAACTGTCCTCCGTTAGACACAGTGCTCAGTGTTTTCCCCTTCATCATCTGTAAACTCCAGAGGTAGATGAAAGCATGTTTCAGAATCATAAACCTTCAGTAGAGCAGAGGAGTTTGTTGCTATGGTGATCCTGCCCCAGTACTTTTTGGCTCTCTCACTGCACTGAACTCCAGAGCTGACCTCTATTTACATGATGATTTTCCAAAGGCAGGAAGACCCCAGCTGGGAATTCAGCTGTAGGAATAGCTGGTTGATTGACCAGAGTTAGCTAGGTGAGAAGCAATAAGGAAGCAGAATGAGATTCTTCTCCTCTCTTGACCTGGTAGGGTGATGGATCTGCCCTCTCAAGACAGGAGGACAGCATCGTTGCCTTATCCAGAGAAAGAACTGAAATCTGATTGTAGCTAAGGAAAAACTATGTTCCCAAACATAGCCCATATTCTCTGATAAAACACAATAGACTTGCCAGGGCTTTATCTGGTTTTCTTTGTTTTAACCATTACCTAAAATAAGCAAAATATTTCTTTCTATTCGCTATTAGAGAATAGCAAAAATATGAAAAAAATAATAAAAATTCAATAGTAGGCTGTCATGCTCCAACAGATACTAACACATTATTGTTGGCACCACAGACAGGTGAAAATATTTTGGAAAGCAGTGTGACAGTATGTAATAAGTCATTAGTTTTTTTTATTTAATTTTTTTGTTACATTTGAAGTTCTGAACTGTCTTCCTCTCTCCCTCCTCACCCCACACTAGAAAAGGGTACCATTTCACACAAATATATATATATATATATATATAATATGTATATATATAATATGTATATATAATACATATGTGTGTGTCTATATGTCTGTCTGTATGTATGTATGTATATATATGTATATATATATATATGAAAAACCATACTATGCATACTTCTATTTATCAGTTCTTTCTCTTCATATGGATAGCATCTTCCTTCATAGGTCTTTTATAGTTGATTTGAGTATTTATTATACTCAGACTAACTTAATCATTCAGTTACTCAATGAACAATATTGCTGTTACTATATGCAACGTTCTCTTGAATCTGCTCATTTCGATCTTCAATATTTCATTAGATTGATCTTACCTTTGACCCAGTCAAAATTTCATTACTAGGACTCTACTCCAAAGAAAAAATTAAAATTAAAATAAAATTAAAAATGAAATGAAAATAAGAATAAAATAATTTAAATTAATAACTAATTAAAAGTAAAAATCAATAACTAGTGATAATGAAAATTAAAATAAATAAATAATGAAAATAAAGATAATTAAAAATAAAAATAATTAAAAGAGAAAAAAAGACCCATCTATACAAAATATTCAAAGATGTTCTGTTTGTCAATAACAACAAAATAGAAACAACCTGAGTCCAAGAACTGCAAAAGGGCTGAGTTAATTGAATAGTAAGATAACAGCATATCATATGATCATAAAAATATGAAGCATACAAGGAAATACAGAAAGATCTAGATAAGGTGATACAAAACAAATGCAGAATTGTACATAGCCTGACTATAATTAAGAAGAAAAGAAAGAGGGGATACACTAGGCGGGTCTAGAAGGTGACACAGAACAGAAACATTTTATTTGCTGGGTTTGTTGTTTGTTAATGTACTTGCTTCTCTTTTATTAAAACAAATGGGTATGGGATAAGATTTTCTCATTTGCTTTGTGTGATTAATTGATAACTTTTTATTGATAATTCTTCAGTTGATAATAAAAATTAATTTTAATGGACTATGAAAGAGCTGTTACTCAAAAATCTCTAATAGATTGAAGCTTTTATATAATATAGTATTTTTTCAAAATACCAATTAAACACATCATCAGTGACTAAATTTATTCTAAAAATTAAATATTTGTTAAATATTAGGTCTTCACTTCACTAACAACAAAATTCTTCACTACAGTTTTATGTGTCTTATCTCCCTTTCTAAACTCTGTCTCATATTTTACTTCTATTTTATCCAGCTGCAACATTCTTGGTAGGCTGGTAACAGGCATTCAGTTAATACCTGTTAATTGATTAATCAGCAATCTTTCTTGCTGTGCAGAAGCTGAGAATGGCTATAAAAATTGGACTCCTGGGAAGTGATACCCCAGATTAGCATTACTGAACTCTGCTTTTTTCTCACCATGCCTATGCACTTTTTCATCTGTATCCTTGCCCAAAAACAGATTCTATGAGCCACAGAAGACAACAAGCTCCTCTAATATGTAAAGCCCTTCCCATCCTCGCTGCAAATTTTTCACACATCATTTCATTTTCATGTGTGCTGTGTTCTAGTCAAACTGGACCACTTACAGCTCCTCAAAATTCTAACTCCATCTCCTACTCCTTTGGATAGACTGTCTGTCCCTGATGCCCAGAATGCACTTCTATTCTCCTCTGCCTCAGAATCCCTAGATCCCTTCAAGGTTCAACTCATGTACGAGGAAGCATTTCCTTGTCTTGACCTGTTGCTAGTGCTCTCTCCCTCCTTAAATCATATATGTATGAGTGTGTATGTATGTGTCCATGTGTGAGTGTGTTCTAACTATTCACATATTGTATCCTATGCTACAGAATGTAAGCTCCTTGAGGGCAGGGACTATTTCCCATTTTTGTCTTTGTATGCGCAATGCCAGGGGACAGCTACATGGCATAGTGGAGAGAGTGCTAGGTTTGGAGTCAGGAAGACCCATCTTCCTGAATACAAATTTGGTTTCAGACAGTTAAATAACTATGTGACCCTTGTCAAGTCACTTAACCCTATTTGCCTCAGTTGCCTCATCTGTAAAATAAGCTGGTGAAGGAAATATCAAACCACTCCAGTATCTCTGCCAAGAAAACCCCAAATGGGGTCAGAAAGTATCAGACATGACTGAAAAACGACTGAACAACAATGCGCAGTGCCTACTGTGCCTAGCACATAGTAAAGCCTGCTTCTTGGATTAGATTGGATTGCATCAGGATATAATAAATATAAAATGTCTAACAGATAGTAAGCATTTAATATATTTTTGATGAATTGCATTTTACTGAATCTTGCATAGAAAACCTATAGCCAAAGAACTATTTTCCAACTTAGTACCTTAAGGAAGCTCAATTTTTGATTTTGTTTCATTTTGGGGGTTTCTTGCTTAGTAAACAGGTGCTGGGAATGGTTTCTTTGAACTACTAATTATCATTTTCATATTCCGTGCCTTGGGCCATAATACGTAAATCAAGAACCAATGAAAACTTTCGATAGAAATTTTACCAAGCCTGCTAAATCATATGAAACTGCTTTGCAAATCCATTCTACACTAAAGTGATCAAAACTCAGAAAACTGAAAAATAAAGCATTTTCCTTTCCTAGCAATCAGTTTCTCAGCTTTGAAACTAGATACAGTCATAACATATAGTCAGAACAGTTATCGCTTCCCAATGAGTGAGAAATCAAGGTCACAAACAGTCACGGAGGGTACTGTTTGTGAAAATATTACCAACCACACATTTCAAAGTGTGACATACCACAGTACAGCTTCTCCTCTAACCTCCACAGCCTGGTCAAACACTTAGAACACTTTAAAGAATGTATAGGTTGTCATGGTCTCACTTGTATTATTGATTCATTCAACAAGCATTTATCAAGCACATACTGTGTATAAGACATAGTGAGAGATCAGATACAAAAATAAATAAGCCATAAATCCTACCCTTGTTGAAGATACAATCTAGAAGGGGAGCTAAAACAGGTATACAGACAAACCATAACACAAATTAAAATGCTACAGAAACATTAGAAAAGTATATCATTCCATGAGTTTAAATGAGATCATTTCAGACTGAAAGGATTAGAGGACTCTTTATGAAGATGGCATTTGAGCTCAGACATAAAGGATAAATAAGATTTCAATAAAAGGAGATGGGGTTGAGTGGGGTAGTGAGAATGGTATTGATGTCAAGGTATTGAGAGAAATTATTATTTTACTAGTATATTAATAATTAATTATTAAATTGGGATTCATGGTTTTCTCCTCAGTTTCCTCATTAAGGCCAAGCTCTTGTTAAAATCAATCTCTAAAGGACATGACTGACTGAGGATATTACCCTTAGCCTTCAAGGAACATGCTCTTCAATCTTGGGTGGGATCCCACCCAACTAGGAGACCTAACTTCTGCTTAAAGTATAAACAGAATTCAGCCTGGGTGCATTCTTACCCTAGAGAAATGAACCCCTGTCCTTGTACCCCCCCATTAGAGTCTAACATGCCCCAGCTCAAAAAAGAGAAAACCAACCGGAGTGGTCTAAATGGAGATAGATGCCCTGTCCAGATTGCTGGATGTAGCTGAGTCTCAAGATCAAGCCACATTCTCAGCTGGAGGAGCTGAAGACTTTTAGCCCACCTCCTCGTTGAACATCCACCAATCAGGGTTGATTTTCAGTTGCCAAGAGAATTCCCATTCAAGGGTTATTTAAAGCTCTCAGGATTTCCACGGGGTACAGAGAGAAACCACTGACCATCAATTTATCGATTGCCAGCTAGCCTAATTAATAAATTTATTATTAATTATCTAGAAACTGTATCTCTCAGGGTTTTTCATTCGTTTCAGTAGAAAAGTGCAAAATCTGTTCAGCAGTAGCAAGTGGCTTAGTCTGACAGAACATAAAGGCCATGATGAAAGACAAGGCTGAAAAAGTAGATGGGAGCCAGACTGTAGAGAGCCTTCGAGTGCCAATCTTGGAAATTTGGACTATGTTCAGTAGGTGATTGGGAATCATTGAAGGCTTTTGAACAGTGGAATGATAAGAGTAATATTCATTAGGAAGCTTAATCTGATAGTCATGTGTAGAAGGACTTGGAAGGGTGAAAAACTGGAATAGGAGTTGGGGTTAATGGTGAGGGATAGACAGGAAGGAGAAAGACTGTTGGCTCTTTGGGGTAGTAGGGTTTACTGGTATTAAACTTTAAATAAAAAAGTGACCAAAGACACTTTAAGAAGCCATAAATTGTATTTCCAATGTTACTAATAGCGACATGCTCAAAGAAACCACTACAATCTCCTCCTCAGTTTGTGATATGGGACCATACCTGGTTTGGCATCTTACAACAGAAAAATCTTCATAGACCGGAGAGATGTCACATGGGACGTGTGGCAGCCATGGAATTTCCACATTCACCAGACTTATCTCCAACTGAGAGCCATTGGTGGGATAGAGTAGACTCCATTCCAAACCTAAACATCCCATCCGTCAAATAAAAATCTCATTAGGCTATTCAGTATTAACAGCAGTCAGGTAAGACAATTATGACAATCTGTAAATGAGATTTCAGCAGCACAGATGACTGTGATCTCAGGAGGAGGTTCTCATGTATTAAATTATAACTTTCTCAATCTAGGTATATAGGAGAAAAAAATTACCTGTTTTGGTGAAGTGGAGGGCAGGGAGAGAGACTGATGTTGGGAACTCTCTGAAGAAATTCCCTCTACCAAGTCAGATCCAGAGCTACTCTGTTGGACAGTTAAAGCTCTTCATAACCTGCCCCTCTAACTTTCCAGTCTTCTAACACCTTACACCCCACACTGCCCCACATACTCTGGGATGCATTGACCCTTGACTCCTCAACGTTCCTCAGACAAGACTCTCCATCACCAGGCTCTGGTCATGTTCACAGGCTGTTCCCTATGCCTGGAATGCTCTCCCTCCTCTTCCTGACTTCCTTCAAGTCCTAGCTAAAATCCCACATTCTACAGAAGTCTTTCCTCATTCCCTTTAATGCTAGGGTCTTTCCTATGTTGAAAATCTCCAATTTTATCCAGCATGTCTCTTATTTGTACATAATTGTTTGCATCTTGTCTCCCCTGTAGACTGTGAGCTCCTTGAGAGCAGGGACTATCTTTCACTTTTTTGGATCCCTCAGTACTTAGCACAGTGCCTAACACATTTGTTCAGTCATTTCAGTTGTGTCTGACTCTTCGTGACCCCATTTGGGATTTTCTTGGCAAAGATACTGGTGGTGGTTTGCCATTTCCTTCTCCAGTTCATTTTACATATGAGGAAACTGAGGCAAACAGGGTGAAATGACATGCCCAGGGTCACACAGTCAAATTTGAGGCTGAATTTGAACTCAGGTCTGGCACTCTATCAACTGTGCCACCTAGCTGCCCAACTAACACACAGTAGGAACTTAATAACTGTTTATTAACTGTGCAATTTATACTCTTAGTTGCCTAGACACACTAAGATGTTAAATGACTAGTCCAAAGTCACACAGTCAAATCCTTTCAGAGGCAGAACTTGAACCCAGGTCTTCTTGACTCCAAGACAAGCCCTCTATTCACTATACCCCTCTGCCTCTCAATAAATCACTTCTAATAAGATTATTTTTCATTTAGTATCAGCTCTGTATCTATATCACTAAATGCTGTTCCAAAAAAAATCCTGTGTGGTAAATAGTGCCATTAGTATTATCACCTTTTTTTTTCTTTTCAATACAGAAACTGAAGCTTAGAAAATTGACTGATTTGCCCAGCTGGGGTTATCAGAGGTAGTAAGCATCAGAGATGGGTTTCAAACCTTCAAGAATGTCTTAATTCTAAGCATTCTATCTATACTGCCTTTCATATGAGGACCAAATGGGATGACATATATATAAAGCATTCCGCAAACTTTAAAGGACTGTGTAAATGCTGGTTATTATTATTATTAAATATTGCTCTATGGAAAGCACTTTGCAAACCTGAAAGTGCCATATGCATATGAGGTACTATTAATATCATAATTACAGAACACTTTATTATATTTCCTCCTTTGGTCCTCAAAAGAACCCTGTAAGGGAAGAAGTCTAGGCATTATCAAGAGGAAAGAAAAGTTGGAAAAAAGTCAAATAACTTCGCTAGGATCATACAACTAGTAAGCAGAGGAATCAGGGTTCAGACTCAGATCTTAGAGCCTCAGATCCAGTAACCTTTTTACTACATAGACCCTAAGTTACTTATTAACTACAACAGACAATGGCTATTATTCTAAATTATGTTTTTAGGACTAAAATTTTACACTTGGGACAAGAATATTCTTGTCTTACCAAAAGACTTATTACGTGATCTTGGTCCGTATGGAATGTGTATCAGGCCTGTATTAAATACTAGGGTCAAAATGTAGACATACTTATGGTCTGGTTGAGTCATTTCGGTCGTGTCTGACTCTTTGTGACTCCATTTGGGGTTTTCTTGGCAGATACTGGAGTGGTTTGCCGTTTCCTTCTCCAGCTCATTTTACAGATGAGGAAACTAAAGCAAACAGGGTTAAGTGACTTGCTCAGGGTCACACAGCTAGTAAGATTCTGAGGCTGGATTTGAACAAAGTTCTTCCTGATTCCAGGCCTAGCTAGCTGCCTAAAATATATGCACATCTTGTTATAAATATGCTTCTCCCCACCTTTCTCAGTTCTGGCAAATCCATAGGTAAGGGGGAAAATAGTCTACCCATTAGCCTTCCTTCCTTCCTCTGCTCATGTATTTGGTTAGGTATTTTTTCTATGTTATTAGTACTTAAATATGCTAACCTCAAATAGGAAAAGAATCAAAGTCCTATTTCCTCTATGACTCCAAGGCTCTAAGATCCACTTACCATCAAAAACAATGGTGATCCATGTTCCTCCAGCAATGCTGCCCTCTTCAGGTACGATATGCCAATTCCTACAAGATGCTGAAAATAAGTAAGAGACAAAGGCCAGTTCAGCCCATAATTTATCTTCTCTCTCTCTGCCAAAATCTATCATTCTTAAATGATTAGACAGATTGCATTAGGCAGGAGAAGAGAGAGTTTTTCCTCTTTGTCTCCTTAGCACACACTCAAATCCCTCTGCCATTCATAGGATCATAGAGCTAGAGTTAGAAGTAACCTTTAAAATGTGGTTCTCAGAATTGAATATATTACTCTAAAAGTGGTCTGCTTATGATGGCGTACAGTGGAACTATCACATTTTTTTAAAATTCTGGAGCCTACATTTACATGAATGCCTTTCTTCAATTTAATTAATTTTTTTGGCAGTCAGGCTGCAAAAGGTGAAAACTTGAGAGGAAGTATTTAATCTTATCCAAAATGGAAACCAAAAGTAATTGTTCAGGTTAAATCATAGGCTCCTAGGCTCCTGGATTTAGAGCTAGAAAGGAACTTAGATGCTAGTAAATCCAATACCTCTGCCCCCATTTTGTAGATGAAAAAACTGAAGCAAAGAGTAGTTAAATGATTTTCCCAACATAACACAATTAGTAAGCGTCTGAAGTTAAATGATTTTCCCAACATAACACAATTAGTAAGCATCTGAAAACCTAGGTCTTCCTGAATCCAAGTCCAGTGCCCTCTCCACCATGACATTCTGCCCCACTTTTGACCATAAGTCATTCTATCATGTGTTTTAACTTTTGAGTTTGACAACCAATAGCTTTGTGCAAATGAAAGACAAATTATGATGGTGCCCATGTATAATCACCACAACCACTGGCAGTTCTGTGGAGTAAAAGAATGAATTATGGCCACATTCTCTGGCCATGATATACTTTAAACCTAGAACCAGGTAGGAGGGAAAATTGGACCATAAAGTAAGAGAGATAACCATGTAGTTCCCTTCATGTATGAGTTTATTCTGCCCCTGGCCACAGATGCCCAAATATATGATGATACTCAGAAAGTCACACAGAATCTCACAAATAGAAGTTCCATATAGATTTCAACAATGAATTAAGTGCCCAAGTCATCTATTGAGATTTCCCAGCTGGCTATCTCCAGATATCAGAAAGAACCGCACAGCGCCTTACTCACCTGCCAAGAGGAACATCTCAATACTCATCAGTGAGAATAGCCAGGTAATCATCTTGTACACATAGATGAGACGTCCTAAAATCACTCAGTAATTATAAGCATCATCCATTTTGATTGAAGTAGCACAGTTTCTCTATTCTAAAAAGTGAAGTGAGAAGTTAGTATCATAATTTTTCATCACAGTGCTCTAAGCTAGTGCCAAGTTTAAAGAAAAAAAATTCAAATAGGAACATCACCAAAGAGACTAAGATTTTTCAAGAAGTCCCTACACTATGGGAAAAGAGAATATCTAAATATGTTGTAATTCTATTTGGGCTTTAATTTCCATATTTGTGAATTAAGTAGCAATAATAACCTCTGTCAGGTCACGTTCATTGTGGAAAAAGAATTTCCAAAAGAAATTTACTATATGTAAAAAAAGAAAAGGGGAGAGGAGAGATAAAAAGAGACAAAGGAAGAGAAAGAGAGAAAGAAAGGGAGAAATAGGAAGAGAGGGAGAGAGAGATGAGTATGATACATGGTAAAATAGGAGAAACTCCCAAAGGGCTGTCAGAAGATATAAAGCAGGAAGGATCATTTTCAACTGGGGGAAGGAATTGACAGGAGGATTGGACTGGCCATTAAGGATAATGAAGGGAATAATCATCTCATGGTCTTGACATTCTTTTTGATGAAGTCATTGAAGTCCTCAGATGAAATAAAAAGTCTGTTTTGATAGGACTAAGAATTTATGAGAATTGGACAATCCTTACCCCTCCTTTCCTGGCCATACAAGTTTTTATGAAAATAACTTGTACATGACAGATATAAGATTTACATAACTTATATAGGACTTATACATGATACAGTAGACTGAGAGTTGGCCTTGGTGCCAGGAAGTATTGACTTCAAGTCCTGCTTCTGATACATAATAGCTGTATGACCTTGGACAAGTCACACATCTTCTCAGTGACCCAAGCCACTCTGTAAGACCATAAGTTGCAGAGCAAATGCTGATCTGCCTTTGTAGGAGAAGTTCCTCACTGGGAGCTCCCAACAATGATGAAATCATAGGTATCAGCAAAAAAAAAAAAAAAAAGTGTGTGTGTGTGTATGTGAGTGTATGTATCAAGGGCATCCCATATGAGTGTATTAGTAGGGAACAGGTAGGCTCTCGGAAGAAATATTCCACAATGGACCACATTCTTACTTTCAAACAATTCTCTACCTTACAGCCTTTCATCCTAGTATCTACCTCACAGGGTTGTTATGAGGATCAAATGAGATAATATTTGTAAAGTCTTTAACACAATGCCTGAAACATAGTAGGTACTTAATAAACGCTTATTTCCTTCTTCCCCCTTCCCCCATGCCCTGTATTCCCCAATAGCTACTGTCTGGTGTAGACAGTCTGGTTTCCTAAATATCCATAATCATTCTTAAACCTGGCATATTCAGGCAGTCAATCAATAAACATTTATTAAGTGCCTACTATGTGCTAGCACTACGCTAATCACTGGGGGTATAAAAAAGAGGCAAAGACCATCCCTGCCCTCAAGGAACTCACTATTCTTGACATATGAAAATTCTAAAGATCCTTTTAGACCCAGTTCATGTTCTTTCTTCTCCACCCTAATTACTGTAAGCCTTATTGATCTTTCTTCCTTGAACCCTGGGATGCTTGCAATTAAACATAGAACCTAACACTCAAATACTTTGTATTGTCATCTTTGTCCAAGACAATACATAACAGTATTGGCTGTTTGATTTTTTCAACCTCAGTACCTCTTAAACACCATCTGTGCTGTTCAATCATTGTTCAGGCCTGTCTGACTCTTCATGACCCCATCTGGGGTTTTCTTGGCAAAAATGTTGAAGGGTTTTACCATTTCCTTCTCCAGTTCATTTTACAGAGGAGGAAACTGAGGCAAATAGGGTTAAGTGACTTGCCCAGGGTCATACAGCTAGTAAGTATGTGAGGCCAGATTTGCACTTAGGAAGATGATTCTTCCTGATTCCAGGCCCAGCACTCTATCCACTGTGCCATCTACCTGCCTCAGACACCATCTACTAAGTAATAAATATGATTGTGATCTGTATCTATGGAAGGAGCTTCCACTTTGACAAAATCCTGGATCTTTGAAGTATTGAAATGATAGTTTGAGCCAGATTGTAAGCTCCATAAGAGCAAAGACCACATCTTTACTTCTTCCATACCCTCTCCAGGGTATGGAAACACAGTGGTGAAGACATGGCAGATGCTTAACAAATGGGACAAATTCAATTCATTTAACATATATTAAGCACACAGTGTGTGGTAGGGATACAAAAAGAAGCCAAAGATAGTCCCTGTCCTCAAGGAGCTTACAATCTAGAGGAAGACACAACATGCAAAAAATATATAAAGCAAGCTTTATCTTTCTATTTATATTTATACAGGATAAATAGGAAATAATTAACAAAGGGAAAACACTGGAATTAAGAGGGGTTGGGGAAGGCTTCCTATAGAAGGTGGGATTTAAGTTGGAACTTAAAGGAAGCCAGGGAGGTCAGTAGTCAGAGAAGAGGAGGGAGAGTGTTCCAGACGTGAGAGACAGACAGAGAAGATGCCCAGAGACAAAAGATGGAGGGTTTTGTCTGTGAAAAGTCAGAAAGCCAGCGTCACTAGCTCAAAGAGAACACAGCAGGCAATAAGGTATACGAATGGAAAAGTAGAAAGGGGCTAGGTTAGATTAAGAAGGTCTTTGAATGCCAAGGGCTTATTCAAAATACATCACAAAGGTGAAATTGAAAGGCATTGGTAGTATATTGAATGTGAATGTGAGAGGTAGTGAAGAATCCAGAATGACTCTCAGGAGGTGAGTCTGAGGGAAGATGGTATTGCCCTTAGATAGAGATCAATTAGTCCAAATATCCTCACTTTACAGAGAAGAAAACTGAAACTCACAGAAGAGAAGTGATTCACCCAAGTCCAAACAGGTCCTAAACGGCCACTGGGATTCAAACTCAGGTCTTACGGTTCCAGGTTCAGTTCTTTTTCCTCCATACCTCATTGTTTCCCATTTACTTGTTGATTTGAATTTTAAGGTTTTATAAATGACTTTATAGAGAGGTAGCATGGCACAGTGTCTAGAGATCTGGCCTTACTGCCAGAAAAGATTCAAGTACTGCCTCTGACAAACACTGGCTGTGTGACCCTAAGGCAAGCCACTCAGTCCTCAGTGTTCCAAAGAGCTTTCTGACTATAATTTGTAGAGATGATGCCCACCTGCCTTGGTAGAGGAGATTCCTCAGTAGGAGCTGCCTATACTCCTAAAATCACAGGTTCAGTCCCCACCTCTATAAACTACTTAAATGAGTAGGGGTCTCCACCCATAGCTATATCTAGAAGGTATATAGAGACCTTGCTGAGGGTGGAGCTGGACTGGACCCAGAAATGGAAATGCATCCTGTGATTTCTTAAGCCAAAAATATTCCTGAGAGTCTTTTTTCTTAAGTTTTATCTTTTTTAATTTTATTTATTTCATTCTGAATTTAAAAAATTTAAAAATAAAACTAGCATTTTCATAACACTTTCATAACATTTTCATAAGTAGAATAGAATAGAATAGAATAGAAAAAAGTTGATTGTACATGAAACTCCAAATCTATTACATACAACTTGCTATTCCTTTTAAATATACAATAAAGTTATCATATAAGTTTCTTTTTTGCTTGATGTCTTTCTTTTTTTAATTTGTCATTATCTATCATTTTATGTCATTTTTTTATGCTTATCACCTGCTACCACCTACCTCCACCACTGAACCCTTTCGTATAACAAAGAAAAACAGTTAAGCAAAGATTACCAACATACTGTACACACTGAGGATTATATCCAAGGGGCAGCTAGTTGGCACAGTGGATAGAGCACTGGACCTGGAGTCAGGAAGAATTATTTTCATGAGCTCAAATCTGAGCTCAGACACTAGCTGTATGACCCTAGGCAAGTCACTTCACCTTGTTAGCCTCAGTTTCCTCATCTGTAAAATGAGCTGGAGAAGAAAATGGCAAACCATTCCAAGAAAACCTTAAATGAGGTCACAAAGAGTCTGACGTGACTGAAGCAACTGAACAGCAACAACAACAAAAGATTATATCCACCATTCCAATGAGAGGCCAAAGCTGATTTCATTAGCTCTAATTCAGGGTCAATATTTGACTGAATCACTTTCAAGACTATGTCAGTCAAGGGCCATGGAGGCTTTTGGTTACGTCTTCAAAAGATCAATAAGCCACGTATCCAATTTGAGCAGAAAATCTGGGCAAAGACAGGGTTTCCTCCCCATATGTACCTAGACATGGTATTGGTCTCTTTAGAGCCAACTAGAGATAAAGGAATCAAATTAATAGCATATTTAACAACTGAGCCCTTCAAAAATGGTGGCATCTTATTCATGCTGCTTTAGAGACCTATGTCACAAAAACAAGTCCCCCAAAAAGCAGAGCAAACTTAGAAAGAAACAATCATCACACATGTCCTGTTTTAAGAAAGCCTGATAAAAAAAGAAAATAATTTGCCAGACAAATGACTCGGGGGTGATTATTTGCATCACAAAAGGAGTTATATGAAGCCTTTATAAAAAAAAAATCAGCACAAGGATACCTTTCTCTATCTAATACATGTGTTTCTGAAATCAAATACTCCTTAACTTGAATCATGCCTTTCCAGGTACTGATGCCCTGAATGTGCTACCCTCTGTTTTTCTTTGAAATTAATCATGCCTCACATCTGAGAGAGTGCCACTGGCCCAGGATAATCTTTCCCCAAACTGCCTTGGCTAGATCATCATTTGATTTGGGGACCTACTCCCTAAAGCTTCAAACAATGGAAACAATCATTTCCTACTCCAGGACTTTCTCTTTTTTAAAACCTGAGTCTAGGTCTTCCTCTCTGTCTCTAGCCCAGAGCAATTAAATCAATACATAAATGCAATGTTTTTTGTTCTGTTTTGTTTTTTACTGGTGGTTAATCCACAGATTTATCCCCACAGGGATAAACTCAGCTTTCAATGTTTTTGTTTTTGTTTTTTCCTACCCCTTCCCCCAACCTGAGATTTTCAGTTTTTGAAAAGAAAGACTTTGACTCAGCTCTCATCTCCTCTCATCTCCCTACCCACCCTCCACTTTCCCTCTGAAACCTTTGTGTCAGTGAGATAATTATCGTTTTCCTTTATTTGACCCATGTTAATGTCAAGGCTTCACTCCAAGTTTGGAATCTTGACCTTGAAAATAGACAGTGAAGCAATTGCTATATGGGACAGTTCCCCCTTTTCCCTTACCCTGTTCCTTCCTCGACGAGGAGTCAATGGAGAAACTGTCTTTCCTTTCCAAGTGATTTTCCTTCTCACAAGGGTAAACTCTTCAGCAAGAGGCAATGGCCTTATTATCTGGTTAAAGCCCAGCCTGCAGCTGCCTTGCAGGTAACTCATTCATGTCAGATTGTAACTCACATAACTCGTTTGTGCCCTGGCCAAATGAGTTCTGAAGTAAAAGTCCATAGTTGTCCATGGGGCAGGCTTAATGATTAACACAAGCTACTTACCTTTTCTTTTTTTTTCCCCTTGGGGTCTCTTATTAATGACCAATGGAAAAGTGACCTGAAATTTTTATCTACTTACAGCATGTGCCCCTGCAAAGAATTTCAAATATATTCACACAAACGGACCCACAAGCATTCAGACAAACATTGCAACAATTGCTCACTAGCATAGCAGGCATAGAATGGCAGGCCCAGGACCAGGTAGACTGTTGCTAGTCCTATAAAGCTCTCTGTTCATGGGCATGAGAAGAGAATTGTTTTAAGATTGGGCCTGGTGGTCTTGAGACCACCATGCCAGCTTCTCCTTAAATGAGGCTGTAGCTTATAGATTCTGCATAGAAACCATTGCTATAAGACATGGCTTGATGGCTTTTGACAGTTTCCCCTTAAGGGAGACTGAAAGCTTATAGAAAATACTCATGGAAAAATACTGACAATAACATTTTTCAAAGGTTAGTATAGCGATGCCCTCCAAACAATGTTTTATCTACCTTCTAGCTTGTTTGTTTTTCTCCCTGAAATCAAACCCCTCAAAATAATTTTGTTGTTGTTGTTGTTGTTTTGTAGGCAATTGGGGTTAAGTGACTTGCCCAGGGTCACACAGCTAGTAAGTGCCAAGTGTTTGGTCTGAGGCTGGATTTGAACTCAGGTCCTCCTGACTTCAGGGCCGGTGCTATATCCACTGTGCCACCTAGCTGCCCCCCAAAATAATGTTTTGCCCTGACCTTTGATGCCCAATTTGACCAGCTCCAGGGAGGCCATCCAAAATCATAGTATAAGAACTTCACTCTCAGAAAATCACTTTGGAATGCTATCTCCCCTACAGCAGGAGCACATCTTCCTGCCGGAATATCCCCTTTCTGCTGAATGGACTCATGTGTCTGTGCTCTCCACTGTAGCACTGCCCTTCCATGAGCTACCTTCCCTGTTAGTGTGTATAGCTGAGTTGTATGTTGGGTCCCCTTTTCTTCTCTCCTTTTCTCCCTCTTCCCCATTGCTTGCAATAAAGCTTTGCATTGAACTGACTTCTATTGTTTTACATGTCATTCTCAACACCACCCCAACATCTCTGGTTGGCCCAAGGGCTTTTCCTTAGACATAAATGGATGCCTGGAAAAGGACTTAATCTACTGACTGCTGTACCTACACTGGGGGAGTATGACACTGTGAACCTAGTCGTAGAAAGCAAGGGTCAATAGAAGAACCCCTACAGCCTCCCAGAAGGGACTCCCTTATGCCAGAGGACTGTCTTAAAACAACAACCTTCTTAAACTTTTCATCAGGGGGAATCATTTCTTTTTTGCCACACCATAACCACTCTAATCAATGAGCCGGTATTTTTATCCCCACTTTACAGATGAGAATTTAAGAGGCTGAGGCAAGAGAGACTGGTCCACAGTCAGAGCACATGACTTCCTGACCAATCTCATAGCCTTTGTCTCCTATCCGTGGTTTCCTCAATCAGGTAAGTGCCTTTGGATCGCCTGCATTTACCTTCCAATCTGAAGATGGGAGATTTCCAGTGCCAAGATGGCGGAATGAGGAAGAAATTCCCCTGGAGCCCTCACAAATTCCACTCCAAACAACTTGAAACAGTCTGAAGATGTATAATTGCTTTTGTTCTCCATTGATAAGAAGCTGGAGAACCCAGTGGACCTAATCAATCAATTAACAAGCATTTATTAAGTAGCTGCTATGCAGTGGGAACTATACCAAGCACTTCAGATGTAAAGACAAAAATGAAATAGATCCTGCTTTCATTTGAGCTTATGTTTGACCTGGAAAGATAATATGTACTTGGAGAAGCTAGGTGGCACAATAGGTAAGAGTTCCAGGCCTGGAGTCAGGAAGACTTGAGTTCAAATCTGGCCTCAAACACTTACTAGCTGTGTCACCCTGAGCAAGGTACTTAACACTATTTGCCTTAGTTTCCTCATCTGTAAAATGAGCTAGAAAAGGAAATGGCAAATCATTCCAGTATCTTTGCCAAGAAAACACCAAAGGGGTCATAAAGAATCAGACATGACTGAAAACAACTAAACAAACAAAAAGTACTTACATAAAATAAATACAAGCTAGTTTACAGAGGGAGCAGAATGACATTTGGAGAGGTTTCACATAAAAAGTGGTATTTGGGTTGAGTCTTGAAGGAAGTTTAGAGATTTGAAAGGTAGAAAGAAGAATGGAGTAAGTGCATTCCAGACTTGGGACAACTGAGCTCAATACTACCAGCCTTCTTGTCTGGTCCTGTCCCATTTTTCCTGTTTTATATCTTTCAAGTTAATAAACATTTATTAACACATCTATTCACACCTATTATGTGAAAGATACTGTGCTAGGTATTAAGATGCAAAACCAAAATAAGATAACAATTTGATCAAAATGTCTAAAAAATGTCTAAGGATGAATTATTTAATGGCAGTAGGAATGACTTTTTTTATGCTATTCATGCCTCTAATTTCATTTTCAGATAAAATTGTCTATAAGGAAACTTCCTACCAATGAAGATTTACAATTGTTCTCCAATTTCTAGTCTTAGAGAGTTTGCAAAGGCTTTGAGGGGTTAAGAAATTTGCCCAGGGTCACTGAGAGAAATGATTATTAATAACCAGTGATGTGGGGAGATCCAGAGTTCCTCCTTTTTTCTAAAGTCTTCATTTTCTTGTGAAAAGCCCAGCCTTTGAAGAATATTATTAACTTCTGCCAAAAATTTACCCCAACTAGACCATCTTATCTTGGTGAATTCCTGCCAATTGTGTTTCACTCAGGCACATTTGGGTGGAAGTAGATCCTTTGTCTAGAATGCCCAAAGCTGGGGGTGGTCTAAGTGTAGAGATAGTCTCTTTGTCCAAGAGTGACATGATGTCACTCTTTCATCCCCTCATTGGAGTGAGCCCTCTTCTCATTGTAATATTTATTATCTCATTAATTGTTAATCAGTCAGAGCTGATTGCCACCCTCTGGAACACCCACTTTTCCAAGTGTATGTATAAGTCATTAGCCCACCACCATGATTGTCTTTGTCATTCAAGAGTGCCACTGACCTCTTTTATTAATAAAATGCTAGCATTACTAATAAAACAACCAATTACTTAGAAACTGTGTCTCTCAAACTTTTTAAACATTACATTGTACAGTCAATATGTATTCAAGGTGGGATTTGATTCTAGGTCCTAACTGGACTCTCAGGCCACCTTTCCATACATTGCAGTATACCACTGTCATGCTGTTTCTCCACTGCAATACAAGGCACAATAATAAAGGAGAGGTCTAGATAAAAATGCTCTGAAAAATTTTTCAGCTGGGGACTTCAGGAAAGGCTTCATAGAAGATTTAACTGATGAATTGAGTCTTAAAGGAATTCAATTCAAAGATTTAAATGCAGTGTATTATGCTAGACACTGAAGAAAATAAGAAGTTTAGATAAAGTATGATCCCTGTCCTCGGGGAACTTGCAGTCTGATAAGATGCAATCATCAATAACTACAATATTAGTATTATGCAAGTACATCGTTATTGTTCAGTTGTGTCTGACTCTTTGTAATCCCATGAACTATACTGTCTGTAAGATTTTCTTGGCAAAAATACTGTGGTGGTTTGCCCTTTCTTTCTCCAGAGTGTCCCCATTTTACAAATGAGGAACTGAGGCAAGTAGGGGTTAAGTGACTTGCCCAGGATCACACAGCTAGTAAGTGTCTGAGACTAGATTTGAACTCAGATCTTCCCAACTCCAGGCCCAGTACTATACCCGCTGCACCACTTAGCTACCCATTCATAAGTACATTAGGGAGGTACAAAAATATCATGAAGAGGTTCATCATATCCTCGGATCTCTTGTCATTTCCCACCCAGCAGCACTCATTATGAACTTTTTTTACTTCTCCACCATGCCCCTGGGTACCTCCTCTCACCTCCTTCTCAGCTTTCTTTTTTGTGTTGTCTTCTCCCTTTAGATTGTAAGCTCCTTGAGGGCATGGATTATCCTTCTTTTTCATATTTGTATCCCCAGCACTTAGCAAAATGCCTGGCTCATTAATAAGTAGCTATTGAGGTTCAGGAGGAAAAAGACATTAATTAAAAGGAGTCAGTTGGAAAAACCCAGAGTGTCCTTAGGAACATCAATGTTCTAATACATCCAATATGGTTAAAGCTTAGAGCACATAGGAACCCCTTTCTGATCTGCCAACTGCTAGTGCCCTCCCTCCCAAATTACCTTACATATGTATGTGTATATATATAAATATATATGTGTATGTATTTACTAACTTCATGCTATGTGTTTTTGTAATAATGGCTAATTTTATACCAAGTCTACAAATATTATAATCTCCTTTGATCCTCACAACCTGAGAGGTGGGTGCTGCTACTTATCCTCACTTTGCAGATGAGAAAAGTGAGGCAGACAGAGGTTAAGTGACTTGCCCAGGCTCACACAACTATTAAGCGTCTAAAATTGGATTCCAACTAAGATCTTCCTGACTCCAAACGCAGTGCTCTGTCCACAATACTACCTAGCTGTCTTGTTATCTCTCCCGTGAGAATGTAAGCCCATTGAGATTAAATCTCATTTCATTCTGTGTCAGCTTTCAAATCAAAGTCAATTGCAAGTCATGTCATCATCTCCCTGATGTCATGGTCCTCTTCAAGAACCACAACCTGTGGATTTTCATCAATAGAATCCTGGACTTGACGTCAAAAAGTTCTGAGATCCAAACCTGCCAGCCGTGGGCATGTCACTTCATTTGTCTTAGGCTCAGTTTCTTGAGGCATAAGACCATGCCTTGTATCCTTAGGGCTTGGCATAATCTTACTCACATGATAAATCAGGATAAGGAGTGGACCTTTGATTTCCATGGTGCAGGGAACTCCCAGGGGGAGAAACTCACTCTGATA